TGTTTATTTTGCATTGACCTTATCTTTCCTTTTGTAAAAATTCCAATAGCCCTTGTGCACAAAAGTTCGCTGACTCTTGTTTTAGCTAACGGCAACATGTCGATTCTGGGGTTCGGGGTTTGAATCTCAGCTCCAGTGTTTGCATGTTCTGCACACCGCCACCTAGCCCCCCCCCCCCACACACACACACACACACACACATTTCAAAGGAATGCATGTTAAGTTCATTGAAGATTCTAAATTGCCTACAGGTGTGAAGGGGAGTGTGAACGTGTGAGTGCTTTATCATTGATCTGGACCAATGTTAGCAGCCTCTCGGGGCCATGGCAAGGGTCTGGGGTTGTTTGATGTGTTGCGCTATCTCCGGTCGAGAACCTGCCCAGCCTCTTGCCCCAGGCCAGCTACGATAGGCTTTGGCTGACCTGTGACCCCAATGAGGAAATGCGCCATCGAAAACGGAAGGATGAACTTGTCCATCTTTGACATTTTAGCTGCATTAAGTCGTTCCCTGTTGATTAAATGAAGTGTTTTAAAGAGCACAACAAAGGATTCAAATGCAATCAAAGCGCTGATTCCTCCCCCTGGCTCCTTTCATTAGCTTATTTGAAGCTGCTCCCTCGGATGTGCTTGAGAGCCAACCCTCGCAGTCACTGGCTGATTGGTGATTGAGTGTTAAACACTCTTGTTATCATGCCGTGTATTGTATCGTTGAAGTGACACCGTAGGCTTTGAATGTCACTCCTTCCACATTAACCCACGGGCCCAGTATTCCGGCACAATGGCGTTGATACATGACCTTTTTAATATTGATGGCTCCATCTTGTGTGAATGTATGCATACCGTCGCTATTGCTCAACGTGAAATATTCACTCGGACAAGAATCGTGACGGCTGCGAGGAGTGAGCCTGATGAAGAAACTGATCTAGTTTGCAGGCCTCGTGAGCGAGCCGCTGGATTGTGAGCCCATTTGTCCTTGACGCTAGGGAAGCCTTCAAATGGGAGAACATTGCCCCCTGCTGATGCCACAACACACAGGCGAAAGTAATGCAAGTTGAGGGGTTCGTTGTTTTGGAATGGATGGCTCTACTTTACGAACGGCAAAAGGAGAGATGTTATCTTTTGAATGCAGTTTTATTGAAAGGGGGAAAAAAAAGACCTTCTGCACCACAGCACGTTCGAGAACACAACTTTTTCCGGCTACTAAAACACTTCCTGTTTCCTTCAGCCAATCAGACGCTCTCAAATAAACATGTTTGAGAAATTATTCAAGAGAATATAATTTAGGTAACTTTAACAACAAAGACAATAATGTAATGTTCAAGCATAAAATGATAATAATTAACAATTTAACAAAAGCTTAACACGACTCAGGGAAGAACATTTATTTTTCTGTGGAGCTTTCTTTATTAGGGTTCACCTGGCGCTCTTTCTGGCTGATTTTGGGTGAGAGGCAGGGTACACTCTGGACGATCATGCTCACTCACATTCACACCTATGGACGATTTTGTGGAGTCAGTAACAGAATCCGGGCGGCAGACTACCCAGAGAATAAAACAGATCTGATTCTGTTGAAATGTCTCTAGCCTACAAAAATCTTGTGGTCCATCTAATTTCTCATAAATTACCGATAAGTCCCAAATTGGTAGCTACTTTTCTTTGGCAAAACCCCTTGCCAAACAAATCTGATTGACTTGAAATTTCCTTTCATATAAGGAACAAAAAAAAAGAAATTGGACTATAGAAGTCAACAAAGGGCACGAACATTAACACTGTCAAACTTGCCAACTAATCTGATTGACTTGGACTTTCTCAAAATCTACTTTAGTATACTGTACAAAATTCCTTTGGAATCGAGTTTTTAATTCCCTGTTTGTATTCAACCATTCAATCCATTTTTTTGCAATCCCCCCCCAAGTGTGACAGCCATAAAAACATGCATTTCTCCAAAGTTGCATTCACGCCTCTGGCAACAAAATAGATCTAGACGCGGTGAATGAGAGGTAAATTGCCTAGCGAGGGAAAGAAAAAATTTGTATTCTGACCGCAGCCTCTGCTTCCAATTGATGATAATCTGTATTCACAAAGTCCTGCGTGTCAGACCAAAGCATTCAATTAGCAGACAATTCCATTCCAATTCTATGCATAGCTGTTTACATTTTCAGCAAAGCACAACAACGCACGTTGTCTTTTCGTTGTAATTATATTCAACGATGTGACATAAAGGCTTTATGACCCCCCCGAGTTAAAAAAAAAAAAAAAAGATGAGATAAAACACCAGTGGTTCTTTGATTCGCAGGCCTCATGCTGGCAAGGATGTGTACGAACCGCAGCAGGATGCTTGTCCCCCTCGCCGGGCGTTCTTACGCTGATTGAATTTTGTCTGCCTATAATCTTCAAAACAATAACACCACATCACCCCCCGCCTGATCTGGTGCAGCAGAACTGACACATTAGTCCTGATAATATTAGCTCTGTGTGGGCACCATGTTCTTATTATTATGTGAGGAATTCTCTTTTTATTTTTTTGCTGGGCGTAATAAAGCATCAGCAGTAGGGCCATGTCTCAAACTGAGATGCTCAGGAGCAGTCAGTGGCTATTGTGTGTTGAATTTCATACAGGGTGACTATTATTAGTAATTCACCGCAGTAGTTTTGGAGGGGAGAGGGCTTGTGGGGGAGCAGGGACTATAAAGGAATATATTTTCCCAGCAGAAAGCAGGCCAGTGGGTGTGCAATTTTCATGAAAAAGAATGAAAGGCCAGTGGGCTCTTGCCTTCACTCATCCCAACAGTTTTTTTCTGGGTAACACCGACGGTTGGTGGGATGACCTGTTGCAGAAAGCCACATGGCAGCAAAAGTCACTATTTATACAATTTACGCATTCAAGATATAAATATGTAAATACTAAAAATAAATAAATAAATAAAAAAGGGGGAGGGTGGCAGCTACTATACAGTATGTGCCTTTAGGAGACTACCGAAATTAGCTGGTGGAGGAGTCCGATTGACGATCTAGCTCAGAGTTGTCCGTACTTTATTCTCTGAGGGCCATTGACAGAAAAAAAATAAAAATGCATGGGCCACTTTGCAATTCTTAGTAACTTAAGTCATTTAAAATGCTAAAACCAACCCATTAAGCAATTAAAGAGAGCATCTCAAATGTCACTGTACACTTATTTTTCTATTTCGTTTCAAGGTAGCATTTTTTTGACAGTGTTAACTTTGTAGTAATTTTGGAAATATATCATGACCATGGCTCGCAATTTACTTTGAAGCAGCGTTGCGAATTTGCTTTTTTTTTTTCACTGTAAGCCTACAATTCACAGTTAAATTCAGCAGGTCAAGTCCCTCACATCCAATGAACTTCAAATTCCTCACATCAGTGTCTCTTAATATGTTTCACCCAAACAATCCCCCCGAGTCCATCCATTATTTGAACGACTTACTGTAGCTCAACAGCTCCCTTATTACACTGGTCAACAGCAAATTTTAATCAGGGAGGACTTCACATGTCTCAAAGTATTTTTGACGCTGACTTCAAAAATGTCTTTCAATTTTTTTTTAATAGCCCATCAGGTTTTTGAGATATTTTCCTTTTTTGCTTTTAAGTTTGATTCGTAAAAACTGGCGCAATACAGATTTTATCACAGCAGTGACGTGTCAGAAAAAAAAATCCACCTGTTGCTGAATATAACCCTTAATTCATAAATATGACCAAATATTCATCTTTTAGAGTTTACTTGCGACTCTGATTAAGACACGAAGTACAAATTTGTTGACCAGTGTTTGTTAAGTCCCTCACCAAATAAGATTGACTTGAACTTTATCGCTTAATAGCTGTGCCTCAATAAGACTTGATGTGCAACGTCCACTTGGTCAAATAAACTCCTCAACCCAAATATCTGTCACATCGGGCCCCCATAACTGAATGGCTCGAAATTTTGCACATTAGTCTAATTTGATCAGCTATTCAAAGTCCTATGGATGTATTATTATTATTATCATTATTATGATTATTTTCCATCCATTTTCTGATCCGCTTATCCTCGCAAGGCTCGTGGGGCATGCTGGAACCTATCCCAGCTGTCTTCGGGCAGTAGGTGGGGGACACCCTGAACTAGTTGCTCGCCAAGAGCAATATTATTATTGTTATTATTATTATGTCAAGTAAGTTCAGAGGTCAAGTTCCTCACCAAACAACTGACTGATTTGAAAAAAAATCTGACAAAGGTGTGTGTGTGTGTGTGTGTGTGTGTGTGTGTGTGTGTGTGTGAGAGAGAGAGAGAGAGCGAGAGAGAGAGAGAGAGAGAGATTGACTTCCAAATCATGACGCTAATAACATAACTGCCTAACTAATTTTGCCGATTTTTGCAGAAATGATTCTCCATAGTTCACTGCAGATGTTGCAAAATATTGGCCAATATTATATGCTCATTGCACAATTTGCAAACGTGAAGTAAAAGGTCTTGCATCTGAATGCAGTACTTTGCTTACCTCGCAGCAATGCAGACTCTGAAAGAGTCTGCAGTGTTGTGAGAAAGGTTCACACAGATTTCCGAAAATCGCTTGCACCAGAAACACTGACAGCATTATTGCAGTGCAAAGTAAATATGAATGGATGCTGTAACTTCGAGCCGATGGGTCAGCATTTGGAGTTGGTGAAAAAAGTAACGCAGGAATACAACTCTGAACACAGTAATGCCACTAAGTAGAATGATGATTAGACGTTCACCTGCCATTGTATTAAGGAGATCTACAATAAATATCATTAAAAATTTCGTGGGTTTTTTTCTGCCGTTATTTTGACATATAAAATGCTTTGGTATGTTATAAGGATTTTTTTGCTCTTTATAAGGATTTTTTTGGTAGTTTATATGGGTTGGGCGCTCCGAAAGTTTGACAGGTATGAGTTATAAACGTGTCGAAATGCTGCATAGAGGGGGGCGGGAATACAACGAGACATAGGAAGTTGGAGTCAAATCAGTCAACCTATCAGATTAGATGTAACTGCAACGTCGCATCTAAACAATATACTGTACATGCAGCGAGGCCGACCGACGCAGTGGATCACTTCGCAGCAAATTTGAGTTTTGACGTTTAGTATGACGTTTCTATTATCATTCGTCCGTAATCACTGACACAAAAGAATGCTCGTCGCGGGCGCGAGTCTTTTCGAATCACGACGTTAGCCACTTGTAGTTGTGGTCGTTAGCATTAGCGAAGTGTCAAATGTAGCCGTGGTAGCCATCCACTAGATTTTAATACGAGCGCTAGCATTTAAAGTTGCTGGAGGTGGGGGTTTAAAAAAAAGATGGTTGTGTTGCTCGTTTCATTATAAACACTTGGTAGTCGTCTGGCAGAAAGTAACCGGCCCCGTCCGGTGTCTTTATTCCCTTCGGCCTCTTTCCGTCACTGAAACTCTGGCGTTAGCTTAGCTTCAACCGCAAGTCAGCCAGCAAGCTGGACAAAACGTTGGATTTAGTCGGCTTTAAGTCGAGCTCGGCGGGCTCGCTGACGCCTCAGAAGAAAATGAAGAAGAGGAAGGAGCTTAACGCCCTCATCGGACTCGGGGACAGCAAGAGAAAGAAGGCGAAGAAAGGCTCCGGTCACCGGCTTCTCCGAACCGAGCCGCCGGACTCGGAGTCGGATTCCAGCTCGGAGGACGACGAGTTCAACGGCATGAGCAGCGGAACTAGCTTTGGCAAGTGAGTGCTCCCTTCAGACGAGCTTTCTTGCAACCATGTTAACAACATTTCTGACCACACGAACGCCCTGCAAAAGAAACTTCTGTGTAAACAATCCTCTTAATACATAAGAGGATTGCATATTAGCACATGTCAGCTGCAAAATGAAATGCAGTAATCATAAAAGATGCAAATTGAGAATTAAGTGGGAGTATTTTTCCAGGAAATAAATAATTTTACAGTGCCCTTTACAGAAAGATAATACTGTGTAGAATTTTGCAAGGCATTAGTCAGAATATAATACAATATACAAAATCATAAATGAGCAGCGGAACTAGCTTTGGCAAGTGAGTGCTCCCTTCAGACGAGCTTTCTTGCAACCATGTTAACAACATTTCTGACCACACGAACGCCCTGCAAAAGAAACTTCTGTGTAAACAATCCTCTTAATACATAAGAGGATTGCATATTAGCACATGTCAGCTGCAAAATGAAATGCAGTAATCATAAAAGATGCAAATTGAGAATTAAGTGGGAGTATTTTTCCAGGAAATAAATAATTTTACAGTGCCCTTTACAGAAAGATAATACTGTGTAGAATTTTGCAAGGCATTAGTCAGAATATAATACAATATACAAAATCATAACAAAACGAACATTGTTTTTTTGTTTTGTTTTGTGTGACAGAATGTTTGATTTATCAGGGGGAGTGGCTTTAACGAGCATCTTCACTGATGTGCTAATTCTACATAAATGCACATGGCTGCAGAGACAGTGGAGTTAAAATCACAGATGGGAGCAAAAGACAAAGCAGAATTCATTTTAAACGTTTGTTTGTTTTTGTTATTTTATTTATCTTAGTAGTTATAATCTTCCAACTCAATAATGTCGGGGTTTTTTTTCCAGAAGCAAACAGGTGTTCGTGTGCATGGGGCAGGGTGTCCACTAAAATCAGGGATTAAGATTTTATTTGTAAGGCCATAGAATGTAACGCGACAAGGGTCGTAGGTAAGGTTGCAATCACAGAGATAAATCGAGTGGCGTTTTTTTTAGGAATAAAGTAGTCTTGTAACAAGAAAAAAAAAAATTGAAGTTTTGTATTTATAATTTTGGGGGGGAACATTTCACAATTTTACAAACTAACACTGTAATTTTGGGAGAATTAAATGTTAAATTGCGAGAAACAAAACTAGCGGGACGAGACTAACAATGGAATATTATGACGATAATGCAAATGATTTTATGGGGAATCTGAATACATGACAATTCAAAATTAAAACAAGAGTGAAAGGGTAGTTTTATGAGGATCAAATGTTCAGTAATTTAAAAAGAAGTCCAAATAATTTTTTTCAAGAAACATCCTTAAAATACAAGATAAGGTCATGATGAGGATTAAGTTGTATCTCACAAAAGTGAGAATATGAGGAGAAATAATGAAATAACAATTAAAAGAATAAAGGTGAGATAAAAATGTCATCAATCTGTCATTTTATGAGACTAAATGGAAAGAGTACAAACATTTATTTCACTGCTAACTTTATAAGAATGACGTAACATTTTACGAGAATGCCTTTACGTGCCTAACCACGTCACTTCTACTCATGACATTCCCAATTTATTGTTCACCTTAGTTGAGGCTCAATTTCGGTGTAGTTTGTGGAGCCTTAAACATGGAATGAAATTGTACAATCCCCATGTCGTAAACAAACCTCTGAAAAGATCTTTTTCCATGAATAATTAAAGAAGTGAGGCAGTGCGTCTAATGCTGCCGCTTTTGACCGCTTCCAGGCGAAGTTACAGTCAGTGCTGCGCCGTATGCTACCCACTTTTTCTCTTCATCATACTCGCCGCCTGTGTCATGGCTTGCGCTGGACTCATATGGATGCAGATTGCCTTGAAGGAAGATCTGGACTCAATGAAGGAAAAACTGCACAGCAGTAAGATCCGCTGTCACGCAGCTGTTGTCGTGTTGCGCTGGACATAAGAGAATGTTGAACCCTCCTAACACTGCTGTGATTGATGGATTATTTATTGATTTATTTTGAACAGTGGAATCCAGCCAAAAGGCATCTTCAAGTGAAATCCCAAAACTAAGCGATGACCTGAAAAACAAGGACAAGAAGCTTGATGACATTGAGAATGGGGACAAAGGGTTGGGCAAACTCTGGTTCAACCTCACAGACATAAACAGAAAGGTTAGCTGTCATCTTTACATTGTCCAACTGGATGTAAGGAGCGTTGCGCCACACAAATTTTTTTTCAGCACACCGAATATAGTTCCCCATCCCTTTTCACGGAAAATAAAGTGACAGCATTGTGAATTTACAAAGTGGTCTTTATTTGTTGTTTTTATTGAATTGTCATTGCCCCCGTGCAGATTACTTTGTTGGACTCTGCTGTCAACCACTTAAAGGCCAATTTGAAATCGGCTTCGGATTTAATCAGCCTGCCCACTACAGTGGAAGACCTACAAAAGGTAAACAAGATGGGGTTTTCAAAAAAAAACATTTTTTAAACATTATTGTCATTGTTATTTGTTTTACGGAGGTTTTTTTCTTTTCAATTTCAGAGTGTGGCTACGATTGGAAGCACGTTGACAAGTGTTCAGCACGACGTGAAGACAATGCAGACCGCGCTCGAAACTCAGAAGAATTCCGACGACGGGCTGAAGGCAACTATGGTAAATTCATCCACTCGCAGGGCATAACTTGCGGTGTTCATTAAAAACTCGTTATGTCGTTTGGATCAGAACTCTAGAGATTTCACAGGGGCATCAAATGATTTGTCAAAACAAAATTTGAATTTTTTTTGTCATTTTAAACATTACAAATTAAAATGTCAAAATTCCGTATGAGTTGTCGGAATATTTTACTACAAAAATAACATCATTTTACAAGACTGCAATATTTCACGAGAAACAATTTGTACATTTTATTTTTTCAATATGAGAATAAAGTTGTGCTATTGTTAGAAATAAGGCAGAATTCCGCACCCCCCCCACCCCCAAAAAAGTATATAAATAAATAAATATAATAAACATAATGATGTTTTTAATGAGAAAATGACGTCATTTTACAAGCTTAAAAAGGTAGTTTCCGGAGAATTAAAACTGTCAGCTAGCAAGCGATTTTACGAGTGTAGTCACGTCACTGCGACGTGAAGTATCTGCTCTCCTCATCAGTCCTCAGCTGTTGTCCTCCTTCTGCCTATTAATCTTTGGGCTTGCACGTGTCCGAGTCGCTAGCAGATCTACTTCGATGTGGCTGCAATCCAAACCAAATGTCAACTTTGAGTCAGATATTCCAATTCTCTTATGCAACACACACGATGTGCCTTTTGGTGGAATTTCCATTGCCGAAAGCACCAGGTTAAGAGCAGCCTCGTTTCCCTGTGCCGTCGCACACGTGTTTTCATCTATAATACATGGAACAAGTGCCCGTCTATTTTGGGAGCTTACTTTCTGAGTAAAAAGTCGGTCGAACATTTGAGAAAACTTAAAAAAAAAAAAGCCCTCAAAAGGATGTTGAAAGCGCTATTTTTGCACTCTAACCTCAGTCGTAACAATGTGTTTAGTTGTTTGACACGGCTTTTAAATAACCTATGACACTGGGGACTTACATGTTATTTTTTGCTTTATTATTATTATTATTTTAATAAGTCACTCGTCAACGAACATGATAAAAAGCAGACCTACAATGTTTTCACACTAAAACTCTTTTGTCCAACTGTGGAAACAAACACAGGAGCCTTTACGCTTCTGGGAAGATGCTGGCCTAGTTTCAGATTGATCTTTAGATGCTTCTTTTCAGGTGAAAGTTATTTGTGACCCAGTCGCTAATATCGTTATTTTATGGGTCATCAACATTGGTAATCTGGAGCACAGATCTCCGCCTCGGGCAAAATGCGGAAACACGTTGTATACTCATTCCTCCAAGAAGCCACTTTGCTTCTGTTGACATTTTGTGAACGTCCTTTGGCCTCGCAGACCACCCCTGTATGAAATTGGAGGTAAAGCAACAACGCGTGCGTGCACGCGTTTGTTCTTACAGGACATAAGTGACCTGAGGAAAGCCGTGAGCAAGGCCAACCAGACGGAGGCCAAGCACCACATTTGGAGCGATGAGCAGATCCATATGCTTCTGTCGACTGTCGCCGAGCTCCAGAGCAGGGTGTCGTCTTTGGAGAGTGGGCCCAAACAAAATGTGAGGGTTTTTTTTTTTCCTTTGGCGCTATGACATTTGTGGATTTTTTTTTTTTTTTTGTGATCATTTTATACATATGTTTACATTACAAAAACAAATGTGGCTTTGTATGTGAACAGAACGCGTGCATGATGTTACTCTAAACAACGATGCCGATGCACAGCCGATTGTCAGTCCCTCAATGACGCTCCCCGGCCCGTTAGAGCGCATGAAATGGAATATTTCGATTTCCATTATTTCATTTGAAAAAACAAATCTTTGTTGGCATCTCAGAGGAGATTATGTACAAATTGAGAGGTTTTCTGTATTTCTTACTGCATGTATAAGATACTAAGACCCCACAATATTATTTTTGCCCCATGTCTCCAGTTGAAAGATGCTGAATTTCAGCCCCTCGACAGCAGCGGGCCTCAAACGACCGAGATGAACGAGCCTCAAATAACCAAAGTGTCGCCACCAGGTGCTGTGTCGTCACCGCAGAATAAACCTGCTCACTGCTTTTTACCTGTGTTACAATACATTTTATTTTTTTTTTATTTTGATAGATAACACCACGCTAAGTCCTGACCCAGACACGAGCAGACGCCCACGCTTCCTCACCCTGAACCGCTCCAAGAGAAATAGCGACATCAAATGCCAAAAGAGGCGCTTAGTTCCTGGAGTCACGTTAAAAGGTGTGTACAACTACTACAATATGCTGTCATAACTCGGGAGGCCAAATTTAGACAGGTCGTCATGATCATGTCGTACATCAAAATCGTCGACAACGCAATAATCCATGTTGTTGTTTATCATAGCGAAGATTTGTTTTTCCTCTCAAAACCGCCTCTGAACTTTCCATGCTGTCCTTGATGCACACGCACAGTTGCTGTACCCTAGCGATGGAGCTTGAAAGTTTTTCAGTGTTTACGGAACTTGCCTTTCAGCGCAGCACAACGATGAGCATCCGAAAAGGGAGTACATGGCTAATTCAATTTCTGTTAAAGAGGGACCATTGTCTCTGGAAGCTATTTGGAACATTAGCTACTAATATTAGCATCAGCATTAATGAGCCACAGCTGTAAACGTTATCTTAAAGATAAGGGATTTCATTCACCAAGGTTTGCCATTTTTGGTGCAACTATAACCACTGATGAACGTCTGTGACAAATTGTCATTTTCTCCCTCAACCCATTTATGTATTATTAATAACCCTGATTTGAGTTTTTTTTTTTTTTTTTTATTCACGAGAAATTACAGTAGCAGTTTTTGTGCACAAGGTCTGAAAGAAATCTTCGCGGATGACTATGGCAATCCAGCGGGCCTGACGTACGAAGAGCTGTGGGTGAAGCTGGGGCCGTTGACTCCGAAAGCTCGAGTGCTGCGGTGTTTCGACAGCAACGGCGACGAGAGGTACTCCATGACGGAGCTGAGAGCCGCTTTTGGGCTGTGAGCGAGTCACCCACGGACAGCAGTGAACCTCCAGTGAAGGAAGCCCAGCGTGGTCTGGCGTACGCTCTCTGTAATTGCTGCACTTTTTGGTGTGAACAAATTGTCTTCTTCCATTTCTGTCCGATCCAGCACAGCCTCAGCTCCTGCCCCAAAACTTGAGCTCGAATCCACTCATCTGCAGAATGGTCACCGACTTATAAGTATCGTTCTCGAATGACAACACCACGCCATCATTCGCTGAGATTTTTTGTGGCAAAAATGCCCCACCACCCCTCACCTGGTACAAGTGTGAGATGTATTTATAAACTTTTATGAATGTTTACAAACATGACTACTAGAAACAGATTCTTCCAACCTGTTCCTGTTTTTAGCCACTTTCCTATCTTAACTGTGATGATTGATCCTAATCCTGGTCAGTTAGTATATTTAATGTATCTCAATAGCTAATCATATCCCCCCCCCTTTTTTTTTCCATCAAACTCGGTTTGAAGGGCTATGTGCACTTGGAAACACTAAGAATTTATGTAGCAATAATAAAGATGCCTAGCATGCAGTAGAGCAGAGGTGGGCAACCTACAGCACGTGGGCCAAAAACTTATTACGCCGGAATGCGCAGAAAATATAAACATTTCTTTGATCGCTGTATATTTCTTAAATATAACCCACACATGACTCGATAAGATAGGAGAAAGGTTCGCCACCCCTGAAGTAAACATACCAAGCTGAATGTGTAACAGGTAGTACAAGCACTGACATCGCCCATTAAGTCTCGTTTTATGCGCGGCATAAAGACGTATTCACGGAATTGTCCCTCAAGCGGCCGCTGTTAATAAAAAGAAAAAAAAATCTCTTTTCATTCAGGGTGTTGGATGAGTTATTGTACAATTCTGAGCTTAAAACCGGTATATTTTAAGTTGTACTTTACAAGTTGCTCATAATAATGTAACATGTACACATTTATTTATGACAAAGCTATTATTGTCCACTACGTTGAGGTAGTTTCAGACAATTTGCTGGGAATGTACTGGCCTGGGCCACTACAAAAGGTTTTGGTGCAGATCAGGGGTGGGGAACAGTCAGTCTATAACACACTTTAACACACAAATGCTCACAACAGACATTTGTTTGATCGTTGTTTTCATTGATCTAGTATGGAGGGCTGGTTCCCGATCCCTGATCTGAAAGCTGCTACTGAGATTTTATTGGTGTTTTTGTGTGTGAGCATCAATGAATAAACAGTAAACAATTTTTGGATTGTGGTGTTTGATTTGTAAGACGATGAGCTCCGGTTTCCTCATATTTAATGTTAGCATACAGTAAGTACAAAAAGTTCAGTCGGTTGTGTGTCTTTTTTTTGTACATATATTTTGTACACAAATCATGCCAGTGCCCCTTTGGCCCTCCAGTCCCGGGACAAAAGTCGAAGTAGTTCTTCATTCTCTTCCTCTTCCTCCTCGTCCATACTGGCTTCAGTCTCCATGGGTTCCTCCTCCTTGGGCTGAAGCCTTCTCTTCACTACGTCCCTCTTGTCCCTCAACATCTCCACCCTCTTGTAACACTCGATCTGCTCGTCGATCTCGTCAATCTGTCGCTCGAGGCGGCCCTCCTCGTCGTCCTCGGCCACGATTGCCTCCGACTTGGTGTTCACCTGCCGGATCTCCTTCTGGAACTCCTCCCACTCCTTGTCCATGTGGTCCTTAGGCGCGTCCACGTTTCGCACCTTAGCGTCCCGAACCGGGTCATCGAAGAAACCCTCAGGCAGCGTCTCGGCCGTGTTGTCCTTCTTCTCGGCGCTTTTCTCCACAACTTCTGCCTTGACGATGGAGCCAGAGTGGGAGACGGTGGGGGCGGACGGGATGGAGCTGTCGAAGAAGTCTGCTGGTAATCCGGTGTGTTCCGGGGGCTGAGAAGCGGCTGTGGTGGTGGTCGTCCCTGCTTCCCCAGTCATCTCGTTTTCCACCTCATCGTTGTCATCGTCGTCATAGGCACCCGCTAGCAGACTAACACCCGCCGAGTTCTTGGCAGAATCCGGTTTCGCAAAGAAATCTGCAGGTACCGCAACGGCGGACTGACCTGTACCCAACGTTTGCTTTGCCTTTTTCCCGTTGATTTTCTTGTCGTCGTCAGTCACTTTTCTCTTCACCGGTTGACTTTGCGTTGTTTGTTTCGCCTCTTTGAGCTCGCTCACCTTCTCCTTGTGCTGTTTTCCAAGGACGTGAGCGGGCCACAGCAGCTCAGATTTTACCTGCGTGTTGCAGATAACGCAGCTCAAGTGGCCCAAGCTGTTATACTTAGCGAATGGAGACTCGACGCGCTTCTTCTCGGACGTTTGCCTTTGCTTCTCCTTCATTAGGCGCCGAAGTTCCTCTTGATTTACAATTTTCTTTCCTTTCCCTTTCTTCACGGTGGCCATTGTGGCAAGGAAAAATATACCAATAACACGGCTATTTGAGTTACCTTGCTCGACGAGCTGAAAGTATCATGGCGCTTGAAAATGACATCATCAAAGATTCGCGTTCACGGTGGATCTCGCGATAGTAGCCGAACTCTCCTGCCTTATTGAACCATCCCGGCGTCTGTTTCATATTTGCCGCAAAGCCCGCAGAATATCAACCGGTTCGTTTAAAAAAAAGGGCTTTCAGGATGAGTGGAGGAGACGTTTGTGTAATTGTGGTTACATCTTAGCTCCGTTTTGTTTTGATGTGTGCGCCGAATAATATTAAACCCTCGTGGGGTCATATCGCCGCGCCCACTGTAGTACATATATTTTTTTTATTGCGGGCTAGCTAGAGCGGCCGGGAGCAGCGCTTCACGGGTGCAAGCTTAATGTCGCTGTTAAGTTTGGCCGTCGTAAAACAGCGGAATTCCTCCAGTGTTTTGTTTTCTTAGCCACATTTTGACTTGTTCTCGTTTAATGCTAATGCCGATGAGTCGAGTGAGCTAGTATCTCAGGTGATTGAGGTCTTTCGCAACCATGACAGGTGAGACGATACGCGCCGCGTGCAAGGACCACTACAAAGGCAACAAAAATGCACAAGCCGTCGACTCGTTCGACGAGACTTCCAACGGGACCATCCCCAACGGGACCGGTCACCACTTGAAGTCCAACAAGGCTTTCGTGAAATCGGTCAAACCGTCGGCACTGCAACAACAGCAGCAGCAGCTGAATGCCAACAACCTGAACGGCAACGCGTCTGTCGTCAACGACGATAATAAGAATCCGATCATCCTCGCCAACGACGATTTCCCGGTGCATGAGTGCGTGTTCAAAGGGGACGTGAGACGGCTCTCCTCCCTCATCAGGACCCATAGCATCTCCCAGAAAGACGTACACGGTAAGAACAATTCCATGAGCTCGTTGTTTTCATCCTCTCTCCATGACAAATAATTGTATGATGCTGAAGAGCGCTGTTGTTCACCACAATTCTTTATTCCACACATTCCGTCCATTCCCCAATTTTCAAATGTTTTCATTGTTCCTCATTTTCCATGTCAAGTCAAATTTCCATTACTTCATTCAAAAACAGGACATTACTGTACTTCACATCGACAGTGCAGAAAATGCAAATCATTGTGATTGTGATTGGTCTGTAACATGTCAGAAAAACTGGACTGCAGGGACTTAGCACATTTCTACCTGACAAAAAAAAAATCCCAAAATTACATAAACAAAATGTCTATTTTTCTCAATTTTTAAAAAAACTATATTTTGAACAAGTCAAACTATAAAACTGTTCAGATCTCTCCAGAGTATAGTATTTATCACATTCCCCAAATTCCCACGATTTTACATACTGTATCTACCCCACTCCTTCCACATTTCATGACAGATTGAAACCATTCAAACTTCAACCTCCCATCCAACATTTAAACAATTCTGTGGGTTCTACACCATGTCATTTCATCAACCTTCACACACAATTTCTATAGAATGAGCGTTCTCTACTGTCATATGGATTACTGTACTGTCTTTTTTTTTAGGTAATACCCCTCTGCACTTGGCTGTGATGCTGGGCCACAAAGGTAAGAGGGCATGAAAATGACATTAACAGATGCTTGCAATCTATAGCTCAAGGCTAGAGTAACTAGAACACCGAAAATAATGGAGATTCATTTAATGGGTCAAACGGTAGCCATCTTAATACTTGTTCTAAACGGGCGATTTTTAGGTCACACAGGTTATGAACAGGAATCAAATAAAAAGCTCACACTTTGATGATCTCGGGTGTCTGTACATGCAAAGGTTAATCCTGATCTGTTTCCATGTTTTTGTTTTTTTTAGAATGTGCCCTTCTTCTTCTGGCCCACAATGCACCAGTTAAGATGAAGAATGCACAAGGATGGAGCCCTCTGGCAGAAGCCATCAGCTATGGTGATAGACAAATGAGTAAGTAGCTCCACTTCATCAAATACTCCGTGTGTGTGCCGCTTTGTAGCTCGTATTGACTGTTTTAAAGTGGGGTACACACATATAAAGACTTTAACATCTTAACCTATGGACCACAGATTTCTGTTGGCTCATTTGAAGCACCGGGTGGGCATTAGCGGTAGTGTTCTAGAGTAGCTTACATCTTACTTGACAGACAGAATGTCTTGTGTTAGCCTTGATTTGCTCTGAGTCCCGCTCTGCCACACTGTCGCATGGTGTTCCACAGGGTTCAATTTTGGGGCCATGGCTGGTTTCATCGTATTTGCTGCCCCTGGGCTCCTTCTTAAAAAAAGTTGTTTGCTTTCACTGCCATGCGGTTGACAATTAGATCTATGTCTTGAGTGAGCAAAAAGAATGTTTTCTCCTTGAGGCCACTTTTGTTCTGCCTGACACTGAACCTTTTGAATTTCAATGAAAAGAAAACAGAGGTTGTGATGTTTGGTCCCAGTGGCCCTTATAAATCTCATATTGTTGACTTGGACCCCGTGGCGCCTTATCTAAAGCCAACAGTCTCAGTCATGGTTGACTTAGAGACATTTTACAGAACCGGACCTCTCTACCTTGAAATGGAGGAGCCCTGTCGGTTGCTTCTCTGTGCGTGTTAGTTGGTGGATTTGATCTGAGCATTTATTATCCTGGTGTTGGCCATCCAGGCGGCTTTGGAGCGCAGCCCAAATGACGGCTTAGTGTCGGGAAGCTCGTCACGAAGCGTTACGTGTAAACAGCATTTGGAATGCCTTCTCTCTGTTCATGCTGTGAATCTTGTACAAGTTATTAAAGATAGAAAAGTCCAGCGTGAATAATTGAAACGTAGCCTGCATGCTGGCGCTTTGCATGTGCCTCCCCTTTGCTATTTTTATGGAAAAAGTCAAATGAAAGGCGGGTGATTATGTGTGGTTAAAAAAAACAACAAAAAACAGCAGGTTTGTCCTCCATCATCACCCATAGCCGGTGGCCTCGTCATCAGATTACCGTCCGCAGCTCTGACTGCCACAGTGCATCTGGAGTTGCATTAGTTCAATGCGGCGCTGCCCATGCGTATCTCAGCCACCCCGTGTGATTAAGTAACCGCTGGAATTGTACTGGAGTCATGCACTGCAGGGCTTGAATAAAGGGATTGCTTTGTTCCTCCTATATTATTCACTTTCAGTGCACAAATGTCTTCGTTTAACCAAATTTTAGACTGGGTGTTACCTTGTGTCAGTCCATTCACTGGACACGTCGCCACGTTCGCCTTTTGGCTCAGCTCCTTCTTCACCATGACAGACCGATACAAAGTCCGCATGCACTTTGAGAAACTTACAAGAAAACGTGTCCAAATGAGCTCCAGTCAAAATCAGGTATCATTGACAGATGCAGTGCTGGATTGCAAAGCTTTGTTGCTAATGTGGGCTGAATAATAGCGTTGTTTTTGTTTTTCCCCTGGATGCAGGCAGAGAGGTACTCATTTTAAAATGTGGTCTTGATTGAACTTCCCCAGGTTTCCTCACATTAGTGCCCCCATCACATGAATAAATATATATCTGGCGATGGTCTGTAATTGCCTTTGCTCTGACATCTGATGGTGGACATCTGAAGCACAGCACAGGAGAAGTGACATCTGGAAAGTTAAACGTGCGAAATGTAGCATAGCCCTTCTGACAGTGTCCATCAAACGTGAGTCTTCTGGGCGTGAAAGTGCATGTCAACAGGTTAATTGGTTCTCGCTTCTTGTCTCGCAGTCACGGCAATACTGCGCAAACTGAAGCAACAATCCAGGGAGAGCGTGGAGGACAAAAGGCCAAAGTTACTCAAAGCCCTCCAGGAGGTGATCATGTCA